GGGGAGGAGGGGAGGAGGACGACGACGGGGAGGAGGGGAGGAGGGGAGGAGGACAACGACGACGGCGGCGGGAAAATAGGGCGCGGTTGACGACGAGGAGGAGGTGGAGACAGAAAAGGATGATGGGGAGGAGGGGAGGAGGGAAGGAGAACGACGACGGGGGGAAGGGGAGGAGGACGACGATGGGGAGGAGGGGAGGAGGACGACGATGACAGTGGAAAAATACGGTGCACTTGACGAGGAGGAGGACGAGGACGAGGACAATGCAACGGTGGAGTAAACATGATGGGGAGGAGGAGGAGCAGGAGGACGAGGAAGAAGCATGTGTGTGTGTGTGTGCAGGAGGAGGAGGACGACGACCACGAGGAAGAGTGTGGATGTGTGTTGTCATATTCGCTATACACAAAAAAAAAAGCATGACTGAGCCAGAGTGTTTCACAGTACTTTCAAAGCGAGAGTGTGTGCGTATGTGTGTGTGTTGTGACTATTGTCACATTTGCTTTACACACTAAAAAAACACGACTGTGGCGGACTGTTTCGTCAGACTTTCACCGAGTCATAAGGAAGAGTGTATGTGTGTGTATGTGTGTGTGTGTGTGTGAGCGAGAGAGAGAGAGAAAGACATATCTGCTTCATGTGCCACCCACCCTGCTCCACGCGCCTCTCTACACAGCTGCTCACGCCCCCGACACTTGTCCACGTGCCGCGCGCGCTTCTCCACGCGTTCACAGTTCACAAGCGATGGCAGAGCTACAAGATTCGACGAAGGCGCTTCTCCACACAACAACGCTCGAGGACTAGGCAGGTGCCTTTGGAAAGCACTGGCCGCGAACCGCCCCCGACAACGGCTTAAAAAAAAACAAACAAAGAAACAACGAAACCCGTCTGTCCACTTTCTGGTCGTTCCGGCTCGTGGCCCAGGGCAGCAAAAAATGGGGCGCAAATGTTTTTCGGCAGCCCAGGGCCTGAATAAAAGCCCTGGACAACCGAAAAAAAATTTGCCCCTTGGGCTTGGGCAGTCATATCCGGACCAAGATCCGGACCCGGACCCCGGACTCCAGACCACAGACGGTCCGGATCCCTGTCCGGTGGTCCGGATCGTAGCCATGGATTTTTTCCTCTCTTCATTTTAAGTTGAGTAAACCTTGCATGACCTCAAGCTTGAGTTTCGAATTATGAATGGGGCAGGAATTTTATCCAAAACTGGGATGGAAGGTTGTATGACGTATTTTTCTGTCTGCCATATTCTCCCCTCTGCCTTTTGTGGGGCAAGTCATACAGTTTTCCATTGAGCTTATTAACGGATAATGAGAGTGGAAGAGGCAGAAAACAGTATATACGTACATATAAATGGGGAAACTACGCGGGAGTCACAAATTTGAATTATAATTGTCACTACGGGCCGAGATACAGTTTCGAATTGCAGTTCGGGCAATGTATAAAACACAACTTTCTGGCCAAGTAGGGTGCTTGAAGTGAATTCAAAACTTTATCTTGCCCGGGCTTGCCCCATAGTGCAATTATAACTCGTTTTTATGACTCATATATATGTATGTTGGACTATATATATATATAAATAGTTTGTCACACCCCCTCTTTTGTCGCCCTCTTCTCCCTCTTTGTCTACGGTTTACCGACCGACTCTGTTTGATGATGATATATATATATATATATCGCTTAAGCAACATTGGCCGCGGGGGGGAGGTCAATGGTCCACTGCACACCGAACTTGGGGTCGAAGTTTTGAGGAGAGCCGGTGGATGAAGGCGACCCAGGGCGGGGGAGTGTGCAGAGGGGCGCGCATACCGAAATGTTCACAGCTCGGCATTAAACGAGCGAGCGCGCCCACGGGGCCAGGCGGCGGCGGGCGTAGATGTGAGGGACTATCTTGAAGTCGCTGCTGTCGATAAGCGGGCGGTCTTTTTTTTTTTAGCATTTTCATTTTTAGCCTGTCGTTTCCTACTTTTGGTTTTTGCTTTTCTTGTTGTTCGTGATAGGCGTATCGTTCCTCTTTTTTTTTCCTTATTTTCCTCATTTTTTGTTTTTTCTTTTCTTTTTGTTTCTCGGTGGGTGTGTAGGTGGGTGTGTCATTTTGTCGTTTCATTTTTTCTCTTTTGTTTTCCGGTGGGTGTGTCGTTTCTTGGTGGGCTTTTTGGTTGCGGGCGTAGGCCGCACCGCCCTCACTGCGAGCGCTAAGCTAATATACTATATACATGGTTACCAGGCCGAACGTTCGGGGGCCCCAGGGCTGACCCCCGAACGTTCAGGCGTTTGGGGTCCCGTTCGGGGTCCAGACCTGAAGGTGTTCGGCCCTCACCAAAAATTATTTCGGGGCCTAAAAATTATTGTTTTTTGTTGAATTTGTTTTTGTGAGTTTTGTATGACATGCTGCCACGGTCCTCATCTACGCTGGCCTACAGCCAGGGCCTATTAGGCTATTTGCATGTTCGGCCTGTGGGACCAGGTCGTGGCCTGACCCCACAGGCCGTGTGTTGTTTCTGTCTAGTCTAGTTCAGTTCCACCGTCGGTACTAGTTGAGTCTAGTCCAGTCAGTCCCCTGGGGGTATACCCAGTTGCAGGTATTTGTGCCTCTTTCTTTATCTCGCGCACTTTGGAGTATGTACGTGTCGAGCTTGCGTCGGAGCTGTGCTTTCCCTTTGAACTTCATCTCTATCTCCTCCATCCTTATCCCTTCGTCTTCATCCTAGCAGACCGCAATCCCGGTGGGTCTGTCACACTGGTATTAGAGCGGGAACCATCCCACACCCCCCTCCCCCATGCCGCTAACGGGCGCCGATGTCGCGGGCGGCCTTTTGCCACCCCGGACGGGGGTCGACGTGGCGGGCGACCTTCCCCCCCTGGCCCGCTGACGGGCACCGACGTGGCAGGGGGCTTTTTGTCTCCCCCCCTCTCTGCTAACGGGAGCCGATGTGCCAAAACCCGAGCGTGGGTTTTTGAATTTTTCGGGGTATTATGCAGCGTGTCGATACGACAAAAAAAGAAGGTGCACTCCCGTATGGGGCGACACGCGGCCAATAAGGAGCCGCTAAAACAATGCGTGCACGCAAGTGCCAATGGCAAGGCCACTGCACGTGCCCACACTGCGGCTGCCCTGTCCCACCCCGCTCCCGGATTATACTACCCGCGAGTGCAACTGCTAGGATTTGAACCGTGGCAGTTGCTGCCCTTGCACATGCATAGCCAATGGCTTAACACACTAGCCAGATTCGGTATATGTCTTTGTAGGGTGATACGTTGGTATTGAAGAGTGTCATGCTTGCTATTTCTACCCCCCCCCCCCCCCCCCCCSCCGGCGTCGAGGCTGCTATTGCCTACGCACGAGGCCATCTGCAGCACCACGTGGCACTTTGCTGAGGATTTTGAAGACCACCCTGACTAAGGGGCTGCACTACAATGAGATGTGGGTGGCTGATCAAGATCTCAGCACACCCTGATGATGACGGTGATTATCATTGTATTTTTTTTTACCGGTCAGTGCAATCACAGTGGTTGATAAAGATCTCAACCAACCCTTGGTTATTAATTTTCATTATCATTATTTTCTACTACAGTAGCAGGCTATCAGCATCTTGAAGGCCAAGATCAAGTTGATCTTGGTTACCATGTTGCTCTTCGCCAACCAAGAGCCTGGTATCACCACTTAACAAGCATTTCGTTAAAATTGATATTTTTTATTATTTTCACGAAATTGATCTTCCAAAAAAACACAATTTTTTTGCATTTTTTGTGCCCAACCACATCGGACCATTGATGGTCCAGCGCCCCCTAGACGCCGGACCATCTGATCAGCCTCGATTGTTTTTCATTTTTTTCTGACCATCAAATGTATTCTTACGGTACTTTACGTTGAGATACATTAGATGGTCCGGAACGAAGATGTGGACGAGCGAAGAGATGAAGAAGGAGGTAGGGGACAGAGATAGGACACGTGTCGGATGATCGGTCGAGTCCATCGAGTCCCGGAGACCTCAGACGCAAGCCGCACCGTGTTCACTCCGCTAGGATCGAGCTCGATTACACGAAATCGCCCGAAGAATCGTAGCGCTATCTTGCCTTGGTGAGCACATTTCCTTACTTGCACTATGTCCCCTTATTTGTGCTAGGGCCGGGGCCCAACATTTCCATTTCGGGCCTCGTACCTCCAGACCCATCGTTCGTAGGACATTTTGGTGGTTCGCTGTCTCTTTCGGGCTAACCTGGGCAGAGCCCTTTCCATCAATTCCAGGTGGCGTAGGGCCTTATCCTTAACCGTCGCTCTAGTGGCCCGTCGTGGAAGGGTCGTTTCATCATTTAGGCTCGGTAGGGTTACACAAGCCAAACTATTGGTCCGCAATTGGAAGGGGGTCAGACCAGTAGACTCATGGGGTGTTCCCCGGTGAATAGCCAAGATGTGGTTCACGATATCGGACCAAGGCTGCGTGTCTCTCGTCGTGATATTAGGCCGCAATGCTGTCTTGATTACTCGGTTGACATTTTTTACTAGTTCGTTCGATTGCGACATACCGGGGGAAGTATTCCGGATAGAGACACCATGTAGGACCAGTGTCCTCAGGAGTTCCCCTCTGAATTCTGCCTCGTTATCCATTAGAATCTCCTCTTTGTCCTGATGCATTCCGAGAAAATGGTTGACATATCGCGCGATCTCCGCCGCCTGTCGCGTCTTGCAAGGATACGCCTCGATCCATTTAGATAAATGATCTACAAATACCAAAAGAATTCAATATTCACAACTATTTGGTCTAGGGGGCACAACAATATCTGTGGTTTGCATGCTGACCTTTTGGAACGGTCGTTCAACTACGGTGGGCACTACCGATCTTGATGGTTGAATCGGCGCCTTGTCGGCGGCATAAACCAGACAATTTCGGACAATGAATTTAATATCGTCACGAATATTGGACCAATACCATTCATTCTTATCAATCGCCGCCTCCGTAATTCGGACGGCGACGTGGGCTGCAGTGTCCTCGTGCGCCGACTTAACCCAGTCATACCTCATGAACGGATGAGGCACGGACATCCAAATCCCACTACTGTCTGTCTTTCACTTTTCTAACCGTCCCTCGTTTCATCGGTAGTCCTGTGCTCTCTCCTTGGCCCTCCTCCGGTCCTCTTTAGTGAAGTCTCGGAGGGAGTTCCCAACCACCGTAGCTATCAAGACGACATCTGTCCACACCTCGGCCCTTCTAAACCGTCGGGTCTATTCCAACTTTTCAGACGTGGCTTCGAGAAATCAAGCTTCAGTCAGAGTTTTATCGATGTGGCACAAGGGACACAACCAAGATTTGCCCATATTTCTATACTGGATGCATGAACCATGAGCTCGGGAGACGCACTGCTGACAATCTACCCACTCGACATACCCTTTACCACTAGGACGCATAGCGACCGAGTAGACTCTCGAGAGTTATAGAAAATTTTATTGGGTAGAGAGAGAAAAGATGAAGACGAAAGGGGAAAAAGGGGACCTTCGGAATTACCTCCATGTCCCATCGCCATTGTGTCTTCCGATCACTTCTTAGAGGTTCGAGGGAGAATGGCCACCTGTCCGTACGAGGGTTCGCCGCTTGGTTCTGGTTCCTTCCACGATGTGACCTCTTCGCCCTTGGTCGCCCTGCTAGGCCGGTACAATTGTGTCAGTCCGTCAGCGTTACCGTGCTTCTCTGTCTTCCAGTGGACGATATCGAAATCGTATTCTTGCAGTTGCACAGCCCAACGTCCAATCATGCCCATGTAGTTGGTAAGCCTCTTGAGAGCCAGTAGGGGCTCATTGTCCGTGACAAGGAGGTACTTTTGTCCGTATAGGTACGGATGGAAGTGCTGAATCCACCAAACCACCGCGTAACTTTCTCCTTGAGAAGCCAAATCGTTTCTTCTCTCGTCCCGTACCGTTCGTGAGGCGTACTCGATGACGTGTTCGCGGTCGTCGTTCCCCTTCTGACCCAAAATAGCGGAGATTGCTTCGGCCTGCCAGTCCGAAATGAGTACGAATTGTTTCTTCGGGTCAGGCCGAATCAAAATAGGCGTTGTGGCCAAAGCCTCCTTTAAGGTAATAAAGGCCCACTCACATTCGGCGTCCCAACTCAGCGGTTGGTCCTTCCGTAGAAGATTTGTTAGGGGTCGTGCGATGGCTGCGAATCCCTTGATAAATCGGCGGTAGTACGAGGCCAACCCCAAAAAGGCACGGACCTGCGTCAATGTTGTAGGCGTAGGGGCATTCCAAACGGCCGCGAACTTTCTCGAATCCGGTCGTAAGCCTCCCCGGGTCACCACGTACCACAGGAACGAGATTTCCGGAAAAAAAAAACTCATTTTTTTCCAATGCAATCTTGAAGCCAGCATCCGGCAACGCCCCAAGTGTCCACTCGAGATGTTGTGCATGCTCGTGGAATGATTCCGAGGAGACCAGGATGTCATCCATGTACGCAATGGCGCAGGAATTAATCATGCCTTGAGTCAATCTGGTCTTGTTGCCGAAATTCTGAAACGTGACATTCATCGCTCTCTGAAAAGTAGCCGGTGCATTGCAAATTCCCATTGGGAAGTGGACCCACTGCCAGGTTCCCTCAAATAACACAAATGTCATCTTCGGTCGATCCTCCTCCTTAACCAGAATGTGAGAATGTGATGGAATCCATGGCAAATATGAAACTTGCGAATATAATTAGCACATCCAATCGCATCCAATAGTCCGAGGTTCTAGAAAAATAGTCTGTCAGAAGTACAAACAAAGTCCATGTTTATGACCATGTTGGCTACTGTGATCAGGACTGATTGGGCTCATCGGGTGATGCAAGGAGATGGGGTCAGAGGTTTGATTTGGTTTTAGAAAACCTGGGCTTTCGGTGGGCGACTGACCCACCTAGCACCTTAAGGGAAACTCTTGTTGTGCATCTGAATCGAAAGTCGGTAGGTTCTTTTCTCAAACTATGACTCTCGGTTTGGGGCCCATTTGGAAGCTCGACCGCTGGAGGTTACACAGGGGCGCCGGGTGGTAGAGTGTCACTGTTTCAAAAAACTGATTGTTCCTGTGGGCCGTTTTTGGCCTATGCCAGGCCTAGTTAGTCTTGTGATTACTTAGAGTGAGAGACTGGTACTTGTCAAACAGGCTAGCTGGTAGATAGTAGGAGTACAATCTCTTCGCTTGCCTCATATCCTTATCTACCAAACCCCTCCGTTAGAGGACGCCACAACAGAGGGGTCTGGTAGATACGGATATGGGGCAAGTGAAGAGTTTGATAAAACAGAAATACGAGATTTGGGTTAATTTCCAATTTTCCATAATCGTTTTTGTCTAGTGTCATTCTCAATTTTTTTCCATATTTCTAATCTATTTTTTATTTTCTTCTTAATTTTTTCCATTGTAGAGGTTCGAAATCTAATTTGAACATCGTTTTTTGAATGCCTAATTCTAAATTCGTATTATCTTGTATTTTTTTTCTTAAATAGTATATCTTGTATAAATCTAATTTCTTTGTTTGTAATTGAATTCCTACGTTTTTTGAGTCGATAGGTGGTTTTTCTAAATTTGACMTAATTCTACTCGTTAGCTTATCGTCAGAATTTTGAACASGGGGCTCATAAGATGGTGAAATGAAATATCTCGTAGGGTCAGGGGTTTTCTTGCTTTGAAATAGGGGTGAAAGGCATCAAAGGATTCTTTGCAAGGATAGACAGGGGGTAAAATAGGGTTGTTCAACCGGTACTGGCTAGGGGGAACCCTTRACAGATGCGATTGGCGTTGGGTAGTTAGGTTGTCCAATGGGTACCGGTTGTTGAGGGCGACCTTTAGCGTGATTGGCGTTGGGCAGTGTTGTTCACTTCCTTGATGACGGGGACTGAAATTCTTGTGGGGGCAAGGAATTTCAGGGTGATGACGTTGCCTCCCCCCTGCTGAGATAAACTATTCTCTGGGCTCCTTACGAGGATAGAGTTGGGAATGTGAATAAGGTCCTTCCCTTCGATGATGGAGGCGGGATCTTTCAGGTCGTTTGTTTCAGGGCTTGCTGGTTTCCTATTTTTGTTCTATATTTCGGCGTCAGGAGTCGTCAGAAGTTGTTGTGTAGCCAAGGCCGGGTAATCGCTCCGGCATCTCATTTTTCTCCCATTAAAAACCTAACGGGGCGTCTTGTGGAGCTTTTGGAGACTTGCTTTGAAGTAAGGGGCAAGGGGCATCAAATGATTCTTTACAAGGACGAAGAGGGGGAGGAAATAGGGTTGCTCGATGGGTACCGGCTAGCTTCAGGTAGTTTAAGTTGGCTGATGGGTCCCGGCTGATGAGAGTGAACTCTGGCGCAATTGGCCTTGGTTATGCTAGTTCACCACCTCGACGATGGAGACTGGGATTCTTGTGGGGGCAAAGAATGTCAGGGTGATGATGGTGCTCGGCCCCCGTGGAGAAGAGGCTCTCTGAAGTTATTCACAACGATGGAGTTGGGAAGGATGAAGGTGATTGGGAAGAAGGAARTTGGTAGTGGATGCGATTGGCGTTAAAATTTTGGCGGGTAGCGGCCACTGGCCGCTAACTTCACCCTGATCAGTCTGCGTTTCTTCCCTTCGATGATGGAGGCAGGATTGTTCTGTGGGGCTATTTTTCCAAAAGGAGGTTGAGGGGGATCAGAGTTTGCTATGTTCGTATGGGAGGGGCCTGAGGGGAGGCATGGGGGATTGGTTCGCTTTGTCCCTGGTGCTACCGACCGTCCCCTGGCCGGTATCCTCCAGGCTCGAGGGGCCGTAAAAACACGGCTCTGGTATGCTACGGGTTTCCCCGTATGCCTATAAGTAGGAGTGGTGGTAGGTAGGTAGT